GGCAAAGTGGTTGTCTGAGGAAGCCTTNATGAAACAATGGACTGGTTCCAAATCAGGAAAGGAGTAAGACACTATTAATTGTCACTCTGCTTATTTAACTTATATACAAAGAACATCATGAGAAATGCTGGGCTAGATGAATCACAAGCTGGAATCAATACTTCTGAGAAAAATATTAACAACCTCAGACATGCAGATGAAACCACTCTAATGGTAGAAAGTGAAGAGGAACTAAAGAGTCCCTTGAAAATGGTGAAAGAGGAAAGCGAAAAGCTGGCTTGAACTCAACATTTGAAAAATGAAGATCATGGCATCCAGTCCCATCACTTCATGGCAAATAGAAGGGGAAAAAGTAGAATCAGTGACCTGTTTTATTTTCTTGGGCTCCAAAACCACTGCAGACAGTGACTGCAGCCATGAAGTTAAAAATGCTTGCTCCTTGGAAGGAAAGCTATGACAAACTTAGGCAGCATATTAAAAAGCAGAGAAATCACTTTGCTGACAAAGGTCCTTATAATCAAAGCTATGGTTTTTCAAGAGTTGTGTATGGAGTTGGACCATAAAGAAGGAAGGCTGAGAGCCGAAGAACTGCTGCTCTTCTACTGAGATGCTGGAGAAGACTCCTGAGAGGCCCTTGGACAGCAAGGAGATCAAACCAGTCAATCCTAAAGGAAATCAACTCGGAATATATACTGAAAGGAATGATGCTGAAGCTGAAACTCCAATATTTTGGCCACCTGATGTGAAGAGCCGACTTACTGGAAAAGACCCTGAATCTGGGAAAGATTGAAGGCAAAAGGAGAAGGGGGCAGCAGCACCATGGACTCGGTGGACATGAGTTTGAGCAAGCTATGGGAGATGGTGGAGGACAGAGGGGTCTGGCCTGCTGCTGTCCATGGGGTTGCAGAGAGCCAGACATGACTGAGCCACTGAACAACAACAACAGATCCACAGCTAAGAATAACACTTAGGGTTTATGCGAATATTCTGCTCTAAGAGTATAAAGTATGCCATTCATCACTTGAATAAAATAAGAGACAATTTAGATTTCTAATAAAAGAGGGTTGATTAAATTATTTTGCTATGGATACAACCATATTGTGGAATGCTATGCAGCCATATCAATAATTTTGCAGAAGAATATTTATAACAAGAAAATGTATTCACTGCAAGTTGCTCAGAAAATTGTTATAACACATTAACAAATTAGAATGTTAGTAAATTATCTTAAATGACAGCTCTTGCATCGAAGGGCATGGATTTAAATTTCTATGAAAATTTGTACCTCCTGCACCTACTAGGTAAGATGACAGATTGTTCCAGTTTCTTCTTTTGTGAAAAGTGGAAGAATTATACTTCTTCCTACCTCACTGTGTTTTGGAAATATTAAAAAAGGTAATGCATTCAATGCTCTTAGCATTTTATTGTGCCCATAAATGCTATTGATATTAACAGAATAATATAAATGTATCACTTATAAAATATACATATATTTATGTTTGATTTTGCCATACCATGAACATATGGGGTCTTAGTTCCCCAACCAGAGATTGAACCCATGTCCCTTGCAGTGGAAGCATAGATTTCTAACCACTGGACTGCCAGTGAAGTCCCTATTTATGCTGACTTAGATACTCATACTGATATGATATATTCAATATATATATACAGTAATAAACCTCAACTTTTTTATACTCATCTCTTTGGGTTAAATTGCGATTTTTGTTGTAATTGCTAGCTTGTTTGCGTTGCTTTGGCTGCATTCCCTAATTCTGCATGCAGAAGAGAGTGTGATCAGGAGTTCTGCAACCATAACAAACAATCCCAGTGTCTCAGCCCACTTGAAACAACAAAGATTTATTTCCCACTTGTGTTACAGACCTTTGGTGGGTCAGCAGACATCTCCTTATTTAGAGACCCAGACTAATGGTCAGCCATCATCTCAAACACTGCAAATCTCCACGCCAGGGAACACGACACCATGACATCTCTCACTGCCTCTGCATCCTCCGCTCCGAACTGATAACATCACTTTTGCTCATATTTTCTGGCCAAAGCCAGACACATACCCAGGAGAACCTCAATAACAATAAAAGTGTATTTTAACCAAGAAGAGTTGAAGACTGATGTGTAGACATCACCTGTGTCTGTGTGCTCAGTCATGTCCAACTCTTCTGCGTTTGGAGCGGAACACTGAAAGGAGAATCGAGACAGTTGCACCCCACCCCCCAACCCCAGGAGCAGAAATTAGGATGAATCACTGGATATCCACACTGACTCCAGGAGAATCATCTAACTACATGAAGGAACAGAAATCAAGGAATCACAGGATTAACCAAGAATTTAAGACATCCTCTAAATTATTCCCCTGCCTTTAAGACATAATGATCACACTTAGTCATCACTGGCACAAGCAAGTAATCTAATTTAATTCTACCAGGAGAATTGCTTTTTTTTCCCTTGGCCCCAGCTGGCGAGCTGCTGAGGCTCTCCGGCTGGAGAACCGATGGGCCTTGTAATTGCTTTCTTCACTCATGTAACCACAGCTGCAGCTGTCATTCATAAACTGCAAAACTAATCCTTCGGAAGTTTCCATCTTGGCCATTTGCTTTAAAACCTCCAGTGCCCATGAGTTTGCAGATGTAGCCTATGAAAAACAAAGTCTGTGACCATTGGTCCAAGCACTGGCCTGCCTGTCAAAAATCCTTGGTCTTCATTCTCAAAATTCTTACATTTTGTTACAGTTCCCTGGAAAACCACTTCACTCATCAATATCTCTGTTTCCTTGTGAGGAAACTAGAGAAGCTTACAATCAGTAAAGAGCATCAAAAGGCTTGAATAAATTACAAAAAAATAAAAAATGTAATTCTCTACATATTAACACCTTTTTGGTATAATAAACTTGAAGTATATGCTAGTCCTGAAAAATAGGAACTAAATAAGGACTCTTCAGAAAGGTAGGAGACAAATATGTTTGTCAGAGTTTATTAAACATTGATATATGAAGTCCATAAATAATTCTCTTATGCTAACATCGTATAAAAATTCAAGACAAATGGAAAACCTTGGAAGATATATATAAATAACACAGACATATATACACACACTTAAAGTCACTTTCTATGTTTAAGATATTTTATATGCTTTTCTTATTTTTCTATTACATAGCTTGCTATTCTTAGCAATAAATAAATAACAATAGTGCAAGAAAAACTGATTTTTTAGTCTTTGTTATTTTAAGAGCATAATAGGCTTGCTGAAGCACTAGAATCACCATATTTTACTAATGCTGGTATAACAGTGGTTCCTGTCTAGGGTTATTAGTGAAGGATTGGGTAAATCAGAAATGCTCCTGAAATTAAACACTCCTTCCACCCATATTTTATCCTCTTTCTTATAATCATTAGGGATAAATATCAGAGTATAGGAAAATAGTATGTTACAAATAATCTTGGAGACTTGGGAGGGTTTTCTACCCACCCCTCAAAAAAATAATAGTATAGAAAAGATGACATATGATAATAAATAACGGTGGGGATGTGGAGAAATTGGAACCTTCATACACTTCTGAAGGAAAACTAAAATAGTATAGTCACTTTAAAGCCAGTGTAACGGTACATCAAGAACCAAAACATAGAACTCCATATGACACAGCAATTCCACTCATGGGCAGATATCCAAGAGTAACAAAAAAAAACAAAAATTCTCTACACAAAACTTGTATATACATATTCATAGAACAGTATTCACGATGGCCAAAAAGTATAAACAAGTCAAATGTTGACTGACAGATGAGTGAATGAACAAATGTGGTATATCCATACAGATGAATATTATGCAGCCATAAAATGAGGTAGTGACACATTATAATGCTGAAAACATTAAGCTAAGTGAGAAAAGTCAGAAGCAGAAGAACCCATTTCATGTTCAGATGCGATATCCAGATCAGGCAAAAGTACGGAGACAGGAAGAAGATTAATGATTTCCAGGGGCTGAGTGGAGAGAAAACGGGAGAGTGACTGGGAAGGGGTACCAAGTTCCTTTTTGTGGTGATGAAAATGTTCTGGAACAAGTCAGTGGTGAAGGTCAGATAATTCTATGAATACAGTAAAAAAAAAAAAAAAACCTCTAAGTTGTACACTTTGACATAAGTGTAAATTTTAAGACATTTGAATTCTATCTCAAAAATTCACTTTTCAAAAAAAATATAGCCCTGCAACATAAAATTAATTTTTTAAATTTATTTAATTGGAGGCTAATTACTTTACAATATTGTGGTGGTTCTGATCTAACATTCACGGAAGGGAAATATTTCTCCTTTTCCTCTTTCATGAATAAAATTTGTAATAACTTCAATTACCAGTTCCTCTGAAAGCATATTTCACATTAACTTTGCCACTTTCCCATGAGAGGTGAAATTGTATTTCTTATTTTGATAAATCAAAAACAATGAAACCAGCTTTCCCCTAGATGAATCCTTCCTTCTTCTCCAATGTGTACTGATCTGGTACGAAGAACACACCTGAGGCTATATGCCATCCAAGAAGAGGAAAGCTTATTCCAAGAGGTCTGTTTATATGATGCTTCCTCAAAAGCCAACAGTACAATTCAATAGGATGTTATTAAGTTTCAGAAATGTCAGTGGACAATTAGATGGTTTTATTGATAAAGCTCTGAGCAAACATCCAAACTTTTTTTTTTCTTCTTTTAATGCAGCATTGAACTAGATGGAAATTGAACAAATCTCAAAGCTAAAATAGACTGAGTGAGTGAGTGTGTGTGTGTGTGTGTGTGTGTGTGTGTCAGAGAAGGAAGAAAGAGAGAGATATATTATAGTTCTCCATATTTTCACTCATGGATACTGGAGTCATTATTCCGAAAAGGCAAAATTTTCCGCATTCAGGAATCTCAGCTACGTTTTAAATGATACGTGTGAGCGGAATTCGCTCGACTCGCAGGATTAGAGGTGGTGGGTGGCAAGGCCTGAGACCCTCACTTACCCCTTCCCGAGCAGGGCAGAGTGGCACTTCCTTGGCACTTTCTGATGCTCTCCTCTGTTGTCAGTGGGCAGGAACGTGGGTGTTCACACTTCTTCCCAAACCAGCCTACTTTGCAGTCACATCTTCCACAGTTACACTGCCCGTGACCTTCACAATGAGAGTAAGAGTATATATGTATATTAGTGTATGTAAAAATGTGTTATATATACACACATACACATGTATATGAGAAAAATATACTAAAGTCAGAATTAGTTTCCAAACACTGAGTGTCATAAAGAAGTCAGGATTTCCATCAGCACCATAGAAAACATTAAGGCAAAAGTCCATTTTCCAACAATGTTCGTAAATACCCGAGCTATATTGATTGATCATGAAGGGTAAAGAAAAGCAACAACTCCAGATCAGACAAACAGGTTCGGAGGGCTATCAACTTGAATCTATCAAAATCCAAGTGCATGAGATTGAATTAGCCTGCTGGGGCCCAAATGGAGGTGTTGTCAGTGGGCAGGAACGTGGGTGTTCACACTTCTTCCCAAACCAGCCTACTTTGCAGTCACATCTTCCACAGTTACACTGCCCGTGACCTTCACAATGAGAGTAAGAGTATATATGTATATTAGTGTATGTAAAAATGTGTTATATATACACACATACACATGTATATGAGAAAAATATACTAAAGTCAGAATTAGTTTCCAAACACTGAGTGTCATAAAGAAGTCAGGATTTCCATCAGCACTATAGAAAACATTAAGGCAAAAGTCCATTTTCCAACAATGTTCGTAAATACTCGAGCTATATTGATTGATCATGAAGGGTAAAGAAAAGCAACTACTCCAGATCAGACAAACAGGTTCGGAGGGCTATCAACTTGAATCTATCAAAATCCAAGTGCATGAGATTGAATTAGCCTGCTGGGGCCCAAATGGAGGATTTAATGGATCTGGTGATTAATTCACATGGAGGGGAGCCACAGGAAATGGAAAGCGATTTGTTTTTGAAACAGGGTCTCAGCTCCTGGAGTCTCGCAGACTTTATTTTCATGACCTTTTTACTACCCACAACCCTTGAAGACTAATTTCATACACACAAAAGAGGTCAGGAAAGAAATTAATTTCTTTACACATGGACACAGAACCTTCAAAAAAACTGTGATAAGTGGTGATATGGTGTAGCAGAAAATAGACCAGGTTATCAATCGTATAAGTAGGTTCAAATCCTCACCCTACTTCCTACAGAATACAGCTGGTCAAATGACAGCCTCTTTGACATTTAGGTTCTTCATTTTAAACCACATTATCTATCCACATTTATCAAGAAGTATATAATGTATCTTAAAACGCTACATAAAAATGAACTATTGTTATTTTTATTCATTTGAGCCCACACATCTAACCAAGTAGAAACAGAAAGGAATGAATAACTTAGCTGAGTTTTTTTTTTTTTCAGCTGAGTTTTTCTAACTCTTCATAACCGTTCTGAAACTCATTATTACAAATGCAAAGTAAAGTAGATTTCAATAATTTCTCCAAAAATGCATGAAGGATTTTAAAGGAAGTGGAATCATACTTTCCTTAAGTAAATCAAGTATGTTGCTAATGGATGAAAAATCCATGCTATATTGTATTTCACATTCAGTTCAGTTCAGTCACTCACTTGTGTCTGACTCTTTGTGACCCCATGGACTGCAGCACGCCAGGCTTCCCTGTCCATCACAAACTCCCAGCGCTTACTCAAACTCATGTCTATTAATATTAATATATATCACAGAGTATGAAGACTGGCCTGTTTAATCAGTATCTCACGAGGTCTGTGGGCAGATGTCCATCTGTCAAGTTGAAGCATCCGTCTATCAGGAAGCTTTTCATTATAAACTGGCTTCCTCATGGAATAACTCATAAAATCATACGTCAAAGTAGGATGAGCTATTAGGGGCCATGGAACCCAAATCTTTCATTTACACTAAATTCCATTCAACAGATTTATTGAGCACCTACTATGTAACAGAATCTACGAAACAAGTTGCTGTTGATACTAACACTTTGTCTTAGAGCTCATAATTTTAAAGGAAAATTTTTTGATTACTAATAGATACATATGACATGTGACTATGATCATTTAGACCTTCAAACATAAGAATTTTTATTATAAAAATTTGACTTACTAGCACTTATATCTCTGAGGTTATTGGGTTGCCTAGCTTCGTGCCATTTATCCTAGCTTACAAAGTTCCTCCCCATCTTCCCTGTCCTCATATAATTTTTAGAGCAAAATTTGCAAACAGAGCTGTATTGCCAATGCATAGATAAAAAACAGCTTTTAAAACAAAATCTTTAACATTTAAAGTACAATCAATTCTGCTGTTCTCTGAGAGCCGGTGACTTTGAAATTCTGGTAGAGAAGCGGCATCATCTGTAGGGCACTTGAATGTGCCAGGAGGATGCTGGACAAAGTACAGAACATGCTGCCATTTGTGGAAGATGAGCTGACACTTCAAGAATAAAACTGAAAAAATACAGTTAGATTGAAAGGAGGGGGGGGAAGCTTTCCTCTCGAAAGTTTAAAATAGTTGTGGAAGTTAGAACAAAGCGTCCAGTAGGTGAGGAGGCAGGGAATTCCTAAGTACGAAAGAGAAGGCCACCTACTGCTGCAGGCGCTTGGCATTCACAGGCAGTGACAGTCCTGACCCCTTGGCTTGCGGAATAAAGTCAGAGCCTGTGGAGGAAGATGGGGACTGGCGGGAGGATATTCTGAAGTTCTGTAGTTGGCATAAGAGCAGCCATTACAGGGATGTCCCTGGTGGTCCAGTGGCTGGGACTCCACGCTTCCAACGCAATGGCCCAGGTCGGATTCCTGGCCAGGGAACTAGATCCCACATGTTGCAACTAAAGATCCTACAGCACGTCACTGCGAAGATCCCATGCATCGCAAATAAGACCCAGTGAATTCAAATAAGTGATCAATCAATCAATCAATCAATTAATAAGGAATTTAAAAATAAATAACCATTTTTAAAAAAAGAATAGTCATTACTTTCTGTCTGAGGTTCATTCACATGTCAACATTAAAAAAAATTTGCAGTGCCATAAAACAAATTCGTGAAGATGGTCAGACGCTATTAATAGAGATTCTTGAAATTAAAATCTGGTCTAGTTAGTATCTTAAGAAGTCAGATTAATTGTGGGTGCTTTAACAAATGTTTGAAAGATGTACAGATGCACCAGACCTAGAAGAAATCTCTGCAAGCCTTTCCCCTTGTTGCCCTCATATTCACTCTCTTCTCTTTTTGTTCTGCTTACCTCGCTTAGTCCTTGTTCTCTGTGCTTTTCTCCCTAATATTATGCGGCTTCACTCTTCTGTCCCTTTGCTATTTCTGTGCACTTCTACAAGCTCTAGGGGAAACATGGCCTGTAAGGTCTTCACCTCTATTTCCTGCGCATCTAATGCAGCATCACGGACCTTCGCAAGGATTACTACTCTGAGTTAATGCGTCACCTCTAGGCATCACCAACTCCAAACAAAAACAGGAAGAAGATATAAAATGTGCCCTCACTTTCACCATATGTGTGATGATCCTTAAGCTTTAGGTCTTGGTCTCAGCCTTGGACCCCAGCCCCTGCCTCATCTGAGCAAAAGGCGCTCTCAGAAACAGCTGCGGTCGATTGTGTACACACTGGGAAGAACTGATGGGATACTGTCATTGCTGCGACTGGCCTGGGCTGAAAGGTCTGGCCTCTAAATAGGAAAGGATCAAAGTGGGAGAACACCACCTAGTTCAGGATGGCCCCCGTGCCTCCTCAAATCATCCACGGATGTGCCTTCTACACTTTGCCACCAGAAGCCAACATCCACTGAACAAGTTCAAGCTGGGGAAAGAAGGGTTATGAAAAAAATGAATGACTTGAATAAAACATTCACAGTGAAAGTAATTTCTGAGAGTCAGTAGATATACAGCAACCAGTTTAAATGATGAAATAGTGGCATACAGAATGTTTTTGAAGGTTTCATTTTTTGGGGAAAAAAAGTAGGTATACCTAAATCCAGTACCCCAATGAAGATCACAGAAGAAGCAAATGTAAAAGTAATACAGAAAAGGCTTAAATGTAACTCTAGTCTAGCATGGTGAAAAATAGTATTGACAGTGGTATTGCTAATCTAAATGTTGACCAGAGATTAACTTGACGAGTGAAAACATAAACAAAACTATGCTTTTGCAGTCATAAAAATTATATTTTATATTCTTCAGTAACTTAAACTCACATGCAGCCAAAAATAAGTTATGATTCCATTCTAAATGAAAATGTACCTTTTTCTATTAAATTCTTCATGGTATTTCATCAGTGGGTTTAGGAAATCAGTTAGAAATGCAAGGTATCAATACCAGATTCTGAAGCAGATTCTGAAGCTTTTCAGAAAAGACAGGAAATCAAAACTTGAAATTGCAATTTCTCTTCCGAGGTTACTAGTTTCTCAGTTTTATAGTGATAAAATGAAGATGATGAAAATGCTTGTTTTTGATTCATAAGTTTAGAAATGATAAGATCTACTTATGAAAATCCTTTAGACTGTCATAACATACTATATCAGGGTCTTTTGTAAACATATAGAGAAAAAGGCAAAAGTAAAGAAGTTAGGAGATTCATGTCCTCCATCTATATGAGTCACTGGTTCATCTTTCCAGGCTTCATCTCACTTTATCTTTAAAATGAGAGAACTAAAAGAAGTGAATTCTACCACTCTGACCTGAAACATCATGTTTCAATGCTACTGTGTCAAACCCAGGTGTGTACATATACACATATATTTGGCCTTCAGGAGTTCATTTCATTGATCCTAACAAAGATTCTTTTAAACTCTGTAGACAAGAGAATCAACAAAATAGAGATGAAAGATACAGAATGTTTTTGTTTTATTGCAGATATTAAATACATGTGATATACAGCAACCAGTTTAAATGATGAAATAGTGGCATACAGAATGTTTTTGAAGGTTTCATTTTTTGGGGAAAAAAAGTAGGTATACCTAAATCCAGTACCCCAATGAAGATCACAGAAGAAGCAAATGTAAAAGTAATACAGAAAAGGCTTAAATGTAACTCTAGTCTAGCATGGTGAAAAATAGTATTGACAGTGGTATTGCTAATCTAAATGTTGACCAGAGATTAACTTGACGAGTGAAAACATAAACAAAACTATGCTTTTGCAGTCGTAAAAATTATATTTTATATTCTTCAGTTACTTAAACTCACATGCAGCCAAAAATAAGTTATGATTCCATTCTAAATGAAAATGTACCTTTTTCTATTAAATTCTTCATGGTATTTCATCAGTGGGTTTAGGAAATCAGTTAGAAATGCAAGGTATCAATACCAGATTCTGAAGCAGATTCTGAAGCTTTTCAGAAAAGACAGGAAATCAAAACTTGAAATTGCAATTTCTCTTCCGAGGTTACTAGTTTCTCAGTTTTATAGTGATAAAATGAAGATGATGAAAATGCTTGTTTTTGATTCATAAGTTTAGAAATGATAAGATCTACTTATGAAAATCCTTTAGACTGTCATAACATACTCTATCAGGGTCTTTTGTAAACATATAGAGAAAAAGGCAAAAGTAAAGAAGTTAGGAGATTCATGTCCTCCATCTATATGAGTCACTGGTTCATCTTTCCAGGCTTCATCTCACTTTATCTTTAAAATGAGAGAACTAAAAGAAGTGAATTCTACCACTCTGACCTGAAACATCATGTTTCAATGCTACTGTGTCAAACCCAGGTGTGTACATATACACATATATTTGGCCTTCAGGAGTTCATTTCATTGATCCTAACAAAGATTCTTTTAAACTCTGTAGACAAGAGAATCAACAAAATAGAGATGAAAGATACAGAATGTTTTTGTTTTATTGCAGATATTAAATACATGAAACGTACATTAGAGAACTACTTTCAAAGACCTACGAACACTCCTTAGACACACACACACACACACACACATTCATGACATGGGAAGAATGACGGTGTCTAGTGTTGGCATGTAAATAGGATCACAGCCAGAACTGCATCACAAGGGTGGGGAGTTGGCAGCAAGAGGCGTCAAAAAGCATCATGGCAATGCCGAGTTTTAGGGGCTTCCATAATGGCTCAGTGGTGAAGAATCCACCTGCCAATGCAGGAGGCACGTGTCCGATCCCTGGTCCAGGAAGACCCATAAGCTCTGGAGCAACTAAGCCCAAGCACCACAATGACAGAACCTATGCTCCAGAGCCTGGCAACCACACCACTGAGCCCACGCATCCTCGAGTCCAGAGCTGCAATCGCCAAGGCCACGCACCACAACTACTGAAGTCTGCCCGCCCTAGAGCCCGCGCTCAGTAAGAAGAGAAGACGTCGCGACGACAAGCCCACTCACCGCAAAGCGACAGTCATCCCCACTCAGCCCGCCCGGCAACAAAGGCCCAGCACAGCCAAAAATACTCTTTTTGAAAAAAACAGCAAAACTTACTTAAAAAAACAAAACACTGAGCTTTAAAGGCTCTCAAGAAATTATAGAAGAGGTTGCTGACATCAAAGCTTTTTTCTTTTTTTTTGGTGATCATTGCACTCTTTTGTGTTAAGCTATATAACCTCAGAAACATCAACCCGGGACATATGTAGTTCCATCCATTCCGGAATGCTCTCCTTTCACAGAGGCTATTTCTCTCCTTGAAAATGATCAAAAAATGCTCATGAATTGGAATCTGATATTTACAAGTTGCTTTTCACAAAGAAGTATGAAGACCACAGAGAGAAAAAGTTGGGGAAATGAATTCGATCTAACTACTTGTCATTTTTTTAAAAAATCCACTTGGTATATTATTTTTCCCTTTCAAGACAACATAAACTAAATGTATGTAACCATTTCCTCGCATTTCTTCCCTTAACTCTTTGGTAATCCACAAAGACAAATTTCCTCCCATAACATGGTTCTACCAAATGAGTCTACTTTCCAAACTAAGGGAACTCTAGGTCAGGATTAACCTTATATTTTCATCATTTTGCTAGGCAGGAACAAGCTAAAAAAGTGGAAAGTCACACTGCAGCGTATATTTTCCTATTTGGGAATTTGGCGAAATGGATCAGACTGAAGCAGTCATCAGGAAGAAAGGAGTTATTTCAGAATTAGAAAGTCATTTGAGGGGAGCAGTTCATAGAACTGGAATACCAGAGCGGCTGATATACTTCAGGATGGCTAGTCATGCCCCTGTCGTTTCAGTCACACTCAAAATTTGTCTAGAGTATCCTCTTTGAGGCATGTATATGCGTGTGTATCTTTGTGGGTATGTGAGTCATATTTGCATATGGATGAATTCATGTATCGATGAACAGGAGTGAAAGAAGTGACAAATACACTTTAGCAGTGAAAGTAGAAATAAATACAACTTATTTATTTGGAAGCAGGGATCATATTTTAAAATTTGTATCACATCTCCTGTACCCATGATAGATCAGGCACAAAATATTTACATTTAAGTGCATTATTGAATAGATGAATGGAAAGAGTGGGAATGAATCAATAAAATGAGAAGGTCAATTAAACGAGCCAACTATAATCCAATGGGAGATTTCTATTCGACTTAAATAAGCTCAACACTCTCGGGGTGGCTGGAATGGGAGCTAAAAATAAAGCTTCATTTTATCTAAGTCTTATTACACTCCAGCCTGGCATAAAGCACTAGAGAATATCCACATCCTTGGGGTACTTCTATCTCATATCACTAAGGTACTACCACACTCAAGAGTCAATTGCATGGCTCCCTTCTCATGGTGCAACTCTGGGCAATTGGGAAAGTTGTGAAGACTAGTAATTTACTAAGCATTGTATATAGAATTCTAAAGATTTCATAAGCATGAAGAAATACTCCAGAGATTGATGCCCACCCCAGATCAAAACAATGTTCAGAGAAGCTTAGTTTTATAAGAATTTTGAGCATCCAAAGGACATCTCTTCCTTACTGAAATAAAGTAAAACTGAAGCATCTTCTGTGCATCATTTGGAGATTAAATGACAAGAGCACTTCAGCTAAAGTTGTTTTCAGGTGACACTTAAGGGCGGTGTGAACTTTGTCAAGTCGCTAATTTCTTTGAACGTTCCCTCTTACATGTAGATAATAATGTATCCCTGTCTGAGTTAGTGTGAACATAAAATGGAATGAGGTGTGTGAACGAACTTGACAGGTGTCTCTCAGTGCAGGATCTCGGTTGAGTTTCTCCTTGCTTAAATTTCTCATGTTAGGTGTGGGAGGCAGACTGTGGAGAACTGGCCACATTCAGCTCACTTAATAAAGGAATAACAAAATCACAATCACAGCCTGATGTCTTATTGTTCAAATCACAGGCTACGACCCCATCATCTCTGTGAGTCCATTCAGGAAATTCTCCCAAGCCCAAAGGATCATCAGAACAGGGTGAATCTTCTGCAGGGGAAGCTACAGCGGCCAGCTCCCCTTGGCCAGGCCAGAGAAATCTTTGCAGTTGCATCATTGTAAATAAATAGGGCAGCTCTTTTATCTGCCTTTGCTGGCAAACTTTCTGGAGACAGAGTTCCCTATCTATTTCCTTATACCAACCAAGCAATCAAGCATGAAGATGTGTTTAGGCCTCCTGGATTGTCCCATGTAATAAAATCTATTACTCCATTTTTGCTGAGTGACATTTTTTAAGATAAATCTGACTGCTTATTGTTTTCCTTTGCACTATTCAAAATTCTGGCAGCGTGCATTTTTTTTTTTTCCTTTTCATTTAGATTGTGTGTGCTTAGTCACTCAGTCATGTCTGACCCTTTGCGACCCCATGGACTGGAGCCCGCCAGGCTCCTCTGTCCGTGGGGATTCTCCAGGCAAGAATACTGGAGCGGGTTGCCATGACCTTCAACAGGGGATCTTCCCAACCCAGGGATGAAACTCAGGTCTCCCACATTGCAGGCGGATTCTTTACAGAGAGTGACCAGGGAAGCCCAAGAATATTGGTTTGGGTAGCCTATCCCTTCTCCAGGGGATCCTCCCAATCCAGGAATGGAACCAGGGTCTCCTGCATTGCAGGTGGATTCTTTACCAGCTGAGCTACAAAGGAAGCCCCTTGCATTTAGATTATAGGCTCCATGTCAAGGATTATGTTTGTCTCCTTCATTGCTGGAACCAGTGACCCGGATGCAGCACAGATGCTGGCAAATAGTAGTGTTCCATAATAGAATTTTTGAGTCCACTAATTGACATTCAATTGTAGACTTAATGCAGAACAACTTTTAGTATATAAATTATACCAAAGAAGCAATGCAATAAACTACCTACAAGAACCATATTGTCTTTAGTTTTATACCGTGTTAATAACAGTTGCCTTAATGGTACCTCTTCTGTTCGTGGTCAGGTCTGCTAGCTTTGTGTTCTCACTGCTGAGTATTAGATACACGGAGGTAATAGTTCTTTTTGGTGAAAGACTAGACTGCTTTTCAGAGAGTGGGTGTGTTTTCATCTCAAATCTTTTGCCCAATGTGGCGAATTCTCTAAAGGTTTTTCAGGTTGATATTAGGAGTCCTATGGGTCTCATATTCTTCAGAAGGCACATTCAGTTCTTTCACGATTTCTGGGAGAAGCAGAATAAATCTTGAAAAGAGGGAAAGGAACATTTTCTTATTTAAAAACAGGAATTAGGGACCTCCCTGCTGGTCCAGTGGCGAACACTCCAAGTTCCCAGNGTTTCTGGGAGAAGCAGAATAAATCTTGTAAAGAGGGAAAGGAACATTTTCTTATTTAAAAACAGGAATTAGGGACCTCCCTGCTGGTCCAGTGGCGAACACTCCAAGTTCCCAGTGCTGGGGGCCCAGGTTTGATCCCCAATCAGGGAACTAGATCCTACATGCCACAACTAAGACCCAACACAGTCAAATAAAAGAAATAAATAAATCTTTTTTAAAAAGAATAATCATAAAAAAATAAAAACAGGAGTTAGGAAAGCACTTACCAGAACAGAAGTCATCAGAATATCTGTCATAGACAGCTCGGCAGTCCCTCTCGTCACACTCACAGGTGTCCCCATGAATATCCCCCCAGTCTCCAGTGGGGTCCACATCGTGGCAGGAACATTCACCACACACACAAATCCCTAGAGGGGAAAAATAATTTTGTATGGGTCGAATGAAGAAAAATCATGAAAGAAAGCATCTTACACATTGTTCTTTCTTCTGCTGTTCACTTTATATTAGGAAAATATATGTGTTCAGGAAATATATTCTATAGAGGAAAACACCATCCAGAGTGGACAGTAGAGATCTTTCATAAACAAAAGTTATTATCCATGCCGATACTTCTATGGGATTGCAGGATGTATCAGGAGCACCGTGCTGGTAGGAGTCAAAGAAAACACCAACACAATTAACATAAAATGTCATTCTTGCTCTCAAGGGGCTTACAATTTATTTGACAAAAAAAAAAGCTAATAAAAAAAACTAGCACGTGCAGCACTAACATTTTGTAAGCTAGGACATAAATACTCTTAAGAGTTGGGAAAGTGGAAGTCAATGTGAGCAGAAGTAATTAAGGTAGATGGTCTGGATAAGAAGAGAGAAGGGGAAATGTTTTAGGAGGTTTGGAGGTAGAACAATTCAAGAGAGGTCAAGAAAGCAAGGATGAGCAAAGGAAGATGGACATGGGATGGACATGGGATCCTAAGTAGACCTGACCCACTGGAGCAGAAGGAGCATATCCAGGGAGTCTAAGAAGCAGGCATGGCTGGATCAGACGAGCCCAGGTTATAGAGGACACTGGAACAGGTGGACAAACAGAACTCTGGCTTTTTGGAGACGTGTATAGAGAAGTGTTAAGCTGTAAACCATATTAACTTTGTGTGAAATATTAATAATCATCTTTAGGGCAACCAGCTGATCATTTGTGAAAGGAACAAAGTTAAACCCCTTTCTTACCTCTTCCATCAAAGTCAATTCCAACTAAACATTTAAGGATACAAAACCATAAAATATAAAATAAAATTCATCTTTATTCAAAATCTTCAAAGCAAATTATTTAAAGAAAAAATAAAAGAATTAATGACATAAAAATCTAAAATTCTGGCTGGGGGCAAGACACCAAAAATGAACTAAACGATAAAAACAGCTGAAACAAGTAGTCATATGTATTTAAAAGACAAAGCTACTTTCACAAACACAAGCCATTCTTATGAATGAATTATCTAAGGACAAATATGCCTACAGGAAAATAGACAAAGGACGCTAATTGGAAGTTTTGTAGAGAGAAATAATGAGGATAGATGTATGTAAAAATGCTCACCACTCAACCTATAATGATTAAGGGTTAAGAGAACTTTAAACAACAGTGAGTTAGAATTATTTCAGATGTCAGATAGAAAGAAATAAAAAAGATTGTTTTAGGATTAAGAGTTGGTGCAGGGACAGAGTATAAAATGTACAACTTTCTGGATGGCAGTTTCACAATATAGACTCTTTAGATGTATGTTACCTATAAAACAGCTCACTTCAATTAAGGTATTTTGTAAAGAAAAGGAAAAGAACTGAAAAGTACATGTATAGGAACATTAAATATGGTGGTATCATGTCATTGAAAAACCATTAGTGATCTAAATATCCATCAATAAGGCATTCATGAAGCAATGGTTCCTGCATAGCTTATATAATAAATGAAAATATAAGTGAGTTAGTATGATAAATAATCAGACCAACTCTGCATAAATTAAAGACAGGACTTTTCTTTATAATTTTGTCCCAAGTTCAGGCCTTTTGCTTTTCTTTCTCTACGTACAGAAAGTGGGCATATTCTACTTTTCTGTGTCAGCCTTTAAAAAGATAAAACTGGTGGTGTGTTCAGGCTCTCCATGTAAGCATTACCTATTAAAATGTATCATTCATTTACAGAAATGCAAAAAAATAATTTTCCAGCTTTCTAGAGTTTAACTTTTTTATAGAAGGAAACTGACCACTTACTGATAACTTCAAGTAGTCAGAAAAGTCCAACATGGCTATTTATCTACCAGGACAGCTGACAAAGGGAAAAAGAACATGTATTTTCAAGAATTTTCTTCCAAGCATTTAATACTAGTCGATTTGATATCAACACTTAGTTAACTCACTTTAAATTACATGATAGCAATACTAATATATTTTTTAAATTCCTGCCTAAGGTCAATCTCAATTTCACATGGCTATATTTTATTCACTATCATGTTTTTATTATTGTGTATCAAAGTTAAGTGACTCCATATCAATTCGGTATTGTAACCAAGCCTTTGATTGAATCAATTAAGACAAGACAAGTTTTTTCTGGAATGCTCTCTGAATAATTAGATGTTCATGTTGTAGCTGGTTCTGTGAGTCAAGAGACATTTAACAGAAGTATCTACAAGAATCGCCTTTTTGCTGCACCATGTCATTTCTGGAGGGCTGCCAAAGAAATTACAGTCCCTGAGTTAACTATTTGTTCAGTGAAGCTGAAAGTATGACAGCAACTTTCTTATCTTTCTGCCTTCTGCCCAGTAAAAAAAATAAGAAAGGGACGCTTGTTGGTATAGGAAATCTTGATTTACATCAAAGTCAAACCCTATAAAAGATGACTTCCACATGGAAGGAAATACACAGAAAAGGTGGGGTAATAATTAAGAGCTTTGTTTTTTCCCCAATTATGTAGTAATGAGTATGAAAGACACACCTCTGTTACTGCAGACTTTGCCATCTGGAGATGTGCATCTTCGCTTGCTCTCCCAGGGGGTGATGTCACACTGGAATTCGCATTTATCTCCATGCCAACCAGCCTGGCAGTAACAGTTTCCACAGTAACACTTTCCGTGGCCTTTACCCAAAATGAATTTTATACAGTGAGGAAAAAAAGCAACTTTCAAAAGCAGAATTAACTTTCTACCTCTTGGTGATCACTTCTGCCTTTGGAAATAATCAACCCGCTCCACGGTTCTTGCTTAAAATAATCAAATTATGTAGTTTGCCACCGAAACATCATAGGTATGCCCATATCTACATCATCACACACAGAAAGCAAGTCAAGGTGTCCTCGGATTTGTCCTAGCCAGATGGCTGATGAAAATCACAGAATGTTCAAGAAACTGCATGAAAGACAGAGAAAGTCTACCAGGCCTCCGATCACAAATGTGTACATCAAACTCAAATGTACATAAGCATTCACTCTGAGAGCATTTCTTGGGTTATCTGAAATCAACCATGAGAAACCAATGGTGCATACTTCTTTGGGTGCACAGTATTAATGACTGAGCCATTTCTTTAACCAGAGGGAATATTTCATCTTTTCATTCAACAGTATCCGACAAGCTATTGTGTTTTACCACGTGGCAGAGGGTTTCAGTCAAATCAACTTTTAGTAGTTACTTAAACTACTAACTACAAATAAAATAGCATGTACCCTTGGTATTAAAGTCCAATCCCCTTCCTATCTGTCAAGAGGATACAAACGCTAGGTAAGCACAGCCCATTGTTTTGAGTCCAGCTGCCCCCACACCATTGCAGTTCCCACCCCTCCATAAACTGTTACTCTGCTTGTTCGTACCTATGTCCATCCAATCTGTAATGATGTCACCTCATCACTTTCTGTGCCCATGTCCAGCAACCCTACAAATTCCCAAAAGATGACAAGTCTTTTTCGCCCCAAACCTCCTTTTATATCCTCTTTTTTTCTGTAGTTAGGACAACAACCATGAATGTGTGTTCTTGCACCTATGATGAAAAACAGGACCATTTTGGTTTTTTAGTCTATTCTTTCTGCTTTACAGGAATTTATGCTTTATCAGTCTATGGCTAAAGTCTTTGCTCTTGCCTCTCTCTTCTACATCAGCCATCATCCCAGAGAGTCCATGGGAAACTAATAGCAAGGCTATTTTTCTTTCTAAACACTATGGCATTTCTGGCCAACAGCAGGAGTTTCAGTAGGGCCCAGAACATGCACATTTGAAGGAAAAATACAATAAAATATGCTAGTCCCATGCTATTTTTGCCTCTCAGATGAGACTTCCTTCATGCAGATACATATCAGAGAGACAGAGAGAGTCAGAGATGAAGAGAAAGTGCTAGAGTGAAATATAGAGAAAGTGACAAGGACCCAATGTATAATGTCATGCTTTCTGTCTAAATGAGCTGCAATTGAAGTATATATAGAAAACCTCTTCTTAAGCTGGAGATGGGGTTTCCTTGGAGGCTCAGATGGTAAAGAAGCCAGCTGCAATGCAGGAGACCTGGGTTCGATCCCTGGGTGGGGAAGATCCCCCAGAGAAGGGAATGGCAACCCACTCCAGTAGTCTTGCCTGGAGAATCCCATAGACAGAGAAGCCTGGCAGGCGATAGTCCATGAGGTTGCAAGGAGTTGGACATGACTGAGTGACTAAGCACACAAGCTAACAGACAGGATCATTTCTACAGCAAATTTTAACTTTTTCACTTAAGCTGACATAAAGACCATCAAATGATTTCATCAATAGTAAAATACAAAAGCTATACATTTTATTCATGGACTTAAAACTATCTCTACATGTAGGCACACAAAAATATCACAAGCCAGTGTTACATCACAAGCCTCAGGAACCTGAGGGTTATACTGGAAGAAAACAAGACAACTGTTTACTAAAAGCTTTTCCTAGCAGTCAGTTTTTTGTTTTTTTTTTTTTAAGACTTGATTAACTTCTTAAAGTAGAATTTCCTTTAAGTAGATTATACTTAAAGTAGTATAATTTCAGAAATCTTCAAAATTTATCTCCTCTGTCATTGTAAGAAATTTATGTAACATGCAGCAGTTTGTTAATCTCATGTAAGGCTTACCATGAGATTAAGAACTGATCATAAATCTTCATTCCTCACACCCAAATTCTTTGCATGTTTATAAAATTCAGTACTGATAAGGTTATACTAAAAAATCATTGAGTTAGAGATGAACAGGATTATTAGAATAAATCATGTAAAGCTTTACCATATGCAGATAGGGGAAATTAAGCAGATATCTTCATAATTCAAGTGAAAATACTCTAATAAGACATAGCTGGATAAGTGAGATAAAATATAAGCCTTAGGACAATACACAGTCCAGACAATGAACATCATTCTTTGCTTTGTGCAAACTGATGGAGCAAGAAAATCTCTTTTTGAATTACTGCCCTATTGGGCAGTAGAATCACCCCTCAACAGACTGTTTTCATGTGAATGACACATGGAAAAATCTAGAATCCTACTCAATGTCATCGCCAGAGGATTTTATGGCAGTGTTGGTTGTCTGTGGTCAGAGAGTTTGCACCATGAAATTGCTTTAGCCTCAAACCAACAGAAATAATAAGTGGAAAGGTTGAGCGTTAAACATTTCCTGTTCTTTCCAGTTCAGTGTTTCTATTTACACACGCAAATAGACTTTGCTTTGGTGGTGTGCATCAGAAAACACTGCTCCACACATGTTCCCTTCCTCTGTTTTGATCTGTGATAACTGCAAATGAAATATCAGGAAGACAAACACACTACATGTGTGGGTAGCTTTATCTAATTTCTAATCATTTTGGAACAAGCCCTTTAGCAGAACTGTCAGAGCAGCATCGAGCTTAGGTCACTGGGTGGAAAAAATGAAGGTTCTTCTCCTTGTTTGTTTTTTCCTGGTTGGTGTCCAGCAAGGACACCAGAGAGAGAGATCCGAGCTGACCTAAAATAAGAGCATCTGGATGACCACAGGAATTGAAGCCTCAATTTGTTTTGTAAACCAAGGGACAGCTTAGTAACACTTTATGGCCTTCTGGTTCCTCCCCACCCCACTGGCTCCTGATCCTTTCAGGGAAAATACTCCTCTGAAATCACCCGTTGGTATGCAGGATAGGATTCTGTGGGTGGAGTCTCTTCAGATGTCAGTGAAAGAATTAATTAGTTATGGATAGAGAGATTAGGCCAGAGGTAAGCAGCTTAAGATGTTTCATAACAGCAGAGAAGAGTGCTCCCAAACTGACGTGATTCTCACTGCTGTTTACTTTGCTCCCCTGTGCCAGTCATGATCGAAACCCTGGGCAGAGAGTTGCGGGGAGGGAAGCAGAAGAGAAGGGAGCTATTAAAATAGTACAAGTGGTAAGTAGGGCTTTCCTCATGGAGCTCCAAACTCCAGGGCAGTTCTCTGTGAATAATTGAGTAATAATTACTCAATAATAATATTGAGTAATCAATAGCACAGTCTTTGGCATCAGACAGTACGTGCGTGCATGCATAGTCACTCAACCTTTTGGGCTGTAGCCTTCCAGGCTCCTCTGTCTATGGGATTTTTCAGGCAAGAATACTGGAGTGGGTTGCCATTTTCTGCTCCAGAGGATCTTCCCAACCGAGGGATCAAACCCTCATCTCCTGCATTGAGGCAGGTTCTTTACCCACTGAGCCATCAGGGAATCCATGCATGAGACAGACAGGAGTTTAAATTCCATTTAACCTGGGCAAGTCATTCCCGATCCTGGTAAATTACCTAATGAATACAAATTACTCACTGCAGTTCTTGACACTGGCAAGTCTGCAATAATCGGTACAATAGAAAAATTGATTACGTAATGGTGGTCCATAGAAACAATCATGAAAAAAGTTATCTGAGTGTGTGGGGAGGGATAGATTCTAGGCTAATAATCCAATTGGTCTTCAATGTCTCCAGTAGCACATGAGAGTATTTACAAGGTTATGGTTCAAAATGGGAAAGAAAATGAAATTAAAATATGCAGTGGAGAGTGGGAGAAAAGAGGCCGAGTGAAAGCTGAGCAAAGAAGACAGAGTCCAACTAGGACTACTTGAGAACCATGCAATCGGCCTGTTGCCATAATGATCTGGCTCTTCTCTGGGAACAATCTGATTCTGCATTTAAAAAGCACTGGAAAACAACAACAAAATTCTGTAAAGCAATTATACTTCAATTAAAAATAATAAAAAATTAAAGAGAAAAACTCAAAAAACTACTAGTCTACTGTAAATATCACATAATATCACTTGTATGTGGAATCTAAAAAAATGACACAAATGAATTCACTTACAAAACAGAAATAGATGCACAGACATAGAAAACAGACACGGTTACCAAAGGTGATACCAGGGATAAATTTGGAGTTTAGGATTAACAGATATACACTACTCTATATAAAATAAACAACAAGGACCTACTGCATAAGACAGGGAACTATATCCAATATCTTATAATAACCTATAATGGAAAAGAATCTGAAAAATAATATATATGTGCACAAATATATTATTTGAATCACTATGCTGTACACTTGAAACCAACACAACACTGTAAATAATACTTCAATAAAATGGTTGCAAGATAAAAATTATAAACAATTTTTCATTGGAAAAGACCCTGATGCTGGGAAAGATTGAAGGCAGGAGGAGAAAGGGACAACAGAGAATGAGATGGTTGGATGGCATCACCGACTCAATGGACATGAATTTGGGCAAACTCCGGGAGAGTTTGCTCCCTGAAGGTCAGGGAAGCCTGGCGTGCTGCAGTCCATGGGGTTGCCAAGAGTCAGACACAACTGAGCGACTGAACAACAACAAAGGTCTATGAATCTGCTCTGAATGCCTTAGTCTAAATTTCCTTACATGAAGTATTTTCCAAATAAACATAGGTTCAGCTTAAATGAGTAAACTCAGTGCCTAAACTCATAGAGATAAAAAAGTTCAATGAAACAGGTGACAAAATCAAGTACTTATTTTTTGCAAAGTTAATATACATACCTCCACATATTTCTTCTGTTTCATCATCTATGCATTCTCTGTCATCACACTCACAAAATTTACCATAAACAAGTCCATTTCCATCTGAATTATCACATTTACACCTGCCACAGTGACATGTACCTAAACCATTAAAACAAAGCAAAAATTATTTGTTAAATGCATATAAATTATAATTAATAAATTTTAACCTCTCTTTCATGGATAAAGGCAATTCCAATCAATTTTATACTCCAATTAGGTTTTACTGTGGGTATGATGAGATGGATAATGACATTCTTTTTTGAGATTATTGTAGCCCATTAGTTACATTTTATAGCACACAGCTATTATGATTGACCTCTAATAGTTTCATGAATGTAAATCTGAACTCCCCAAGAGCATAGTTACATTACAAATGTCCATCCAATCAATGCATGAATGAATATCTTCTGATTACACCTGGGTCTGAGTGAACTAAAGCAGAAAATGCTAAGCTTTCTGAGAAAAGTAACCTTGCTTATCTTCCTCACCAGTTATTTATTCAATGCTTTGCACAATATTTGAGCTTATCATTTAAATAATAAATATTTGTGGAATTCATTATCAAATTTAAATATATGAAAAACTCAGATGTTCCTAAAAACTTCATATCTGCAGTGTTAAAGTGATACCCATGTCCTTATGACAAAGGGCCCAGAGTGGGTTTTCCTTATGCATGGAGTTCTAGCACCTCACCAGAACCTCAGGGTGACTCAGGCTGAAACAGAGGCACCAGAACCATCTGGTCTGCCACTCTCCACATACCCAGTGAAGTTTATAAGGATTTGACTACAGCCCCTGAGAATGAGTTCACTGACAATAAAACAGCATTCAAAGGATACTGAGAAGTAGAATCTAAATTTGAGTAGCTTCCTTTTTAATGCTTATTTTTTTATCTTAATTGATCATCACATCAATTACCACAGAGTAACTGAGACTTTGTCATTCACTAGATATCATCCTAGATTCTGGAAATGCAACAGGAGATTGATTCAGCCATAACCTCCTCTTAAAGTTTTATATGAGTAAAAACCAAAGTCATAAAATAAATGGAGAAGTGCAAAGTGTTGCAGAAACACATAGTAAGGGGATTTATCTGAGACCTGGGGGCCAAAGAGTCCCCGGGGAATGGCTCTTAAACTGAGAACTGAAAGACAAGTGAAAATAACAGCTAAGAGAAGTGAGATGATGAAGAAGACCATTTCCAGCAAGAGACAACAGCAAAAGCTCTGCAGTAAAAGGGGAAGTAAGAGGGGGGGAAAGACAGCTGGTGTATAGTGGAAAATAACGCAGAGGGTGTCATGAAAGGAAGAAAAGGCAACTAGTGGTGAAATTTATGGAAATCTAAAAGGCTGAGCACAGAAGAATTGATGCTTTTGAATTGTGGTATGGAGAAGACTCTTGAGAGTCCCTTGGACTGCAAGGAGATCAAATCAGTCAATCCTAAAGGAAATCAACCCTGAGTATTCATTGGAAGGACTGATACTGAAGCTCCAATACTTTGGCCACCTGATAGGAAGAGCTGACTCATTGGAAAAGACCCTGATGCTGGGAAAGATTGAAAGCAAAAGGAGAAAGGGGGTGGCAGAGGATGAGATGGTTAGACAGTATCACCAACTCAATGGACACGAATTTGAGCAAACTCCAGGAGACAGTGAAGGACAGGGGAGCCTAGTGTGCTGCAGTCCATGGGGTTGCAAGGAGTCTGACATGATTTAGCAACTGAACAACAACAAAGAGGTCACATTAAAGATTTCCAACTTTCATCCAAGAATAATGAGAAGCCATTGAAATATTTCAACAAGGGAGTCATGTGATCAGGCATTCATTTCCACCAGGTTATTCTGGTTGTCACATGGAGAATACATTGAAATGAGGCAAAGTGGATTTGAAGCAATGTTGGTTCATTAGTCTGCAGGAAAGAAGAAAGAGGCTGACCTGGGTTATGGCCATGAGTTTAGAAAAAAGAAAATACAAATGGGGTGATATTTTCAGGAGAAAGAAAAGATGACTCAGTGACTGGTTTTGAGAGGTAAAGGATGGAAAGGAACTAAAGATATTGAAATTTGAATTGAGCTACTGAATACTGGAAATTCTCTATGTGTTGAACCAGAAGGAGCATGGATTTAGGACTAATGAAGATCTGAAGCTAAATCCACGTCTTAATCCCCTCTAGCTATACACTTTTGAGGTCATTATTTTTATCTCTAACTCTCAAACTCCTTATCTGCAAATAATGTCTACTTCATACAGCTATTCTGAAGAACAAGTGATAAATATATCACCCTGTCATCTTTCTAAAAACTCTATTGTGTCTAGCACATTGTAGACTTCCAGAAAATGCTGAGTTCTTTGTCTTCTCCCGTTAAGACTTTGAGTATATTAGTCATATTCCCAAATATTTTCTCCAGACACATTTTATATTTATGGCTCCCACTGTTTCCTGGTTTCAAACCCTCTGTGTGATTCTGTTACACAGGTCACTTCTTTCTCTCACAGTCACAAATAAATGGTGATTTCACAGAACCTGAGCTTGTTATTTTTCTTCCTTGAGAATACATGTGTGAATTTTACTTTTATTAAATTTCATTTTTCTTGTTTTTTCCCCCCCCTGGAAACTATTTTGATTTGTAAAAGTTCATTTTGAATCTAATGCTACAATTCATGGGGTTGCCTCATCTCTTTTTTTTTTCTAATTATCACCCTTCTTTTTCATTTTCACATTATTCATGCTCTCTTTCAACCATTCACATCTCTATTCATTACATTTTCTCATTGCTTATTATATCACTGGTGAAGTTGTAGGTGCTATAGGAGATAATAAAAGGAATAAAATTAAAACCAAGTAAATCATAGATCAGGAAGAATGTGCTGGATGATTGATAATTATTACACAATGGATATATGAAACCAGATGACACAAAGACATTTGCACCAGATTTGTGACAAATGCTATAAAGATAGCATGAACCTCAGGCTGGCTCTGTGAAGAAGGAAAGACACAGTGAAGAAGTAAGTTTTGAGTTGGCACTTGGCATACAGATCGAATTTCAAGAAGAGGAGATGGAGAAAAGCCTTGTGATGCTGTAGAAAGAGTCTGAGCTAAGGAATAAGGATGAAGAATTAAAGAACAGTGAAGACTCTGACTTGAGTTTGGAGAAAAGTGTCTACTGCAGGCAGAAAGTATGGGATCCAGAATATTGGTCAAGGATTTTAGAATTCATCTGTTGGAATACCAGGAGCACTTCATGGTTAGGGAGAGAGGTGTACCATCGTGAAGATTACGATGCCATCATTGTTTTCAGGGAAGATGAGAAGGCATAGTCTCTGCTCTGAATTCTACAACTCCTCCCTGACGTCCCCCACAGGCTGGCTCCCTGCAATCCACACATCTGAACCATCCCTGGGTGACACGGGAAGTTTACAACAGTTCAGAGCCTTCCTGTCTTACTCATCAAGTGGAATTCACAACTGAGGCTCCAAGAAGCGGCATATGGAAGCCCCGGCAGACGCGCCAGACTCGTGTCTTCATGCTGTGTCATCCCGTGGCTCTTTCTTGGTTGCCAATTAGCTCAGTCTCTAGGATTGGTCTTCTGTCTCATGCTAGATTATTTTAGTTCTGACTTTTCATTCTGCCTAATATAGCTGGCTCTTTCTAGGATGACTCCCTGTCTTGAACACCAGCCTATATTGCTGATGTGATGGTGCAGGAGACTCGCTTTGCTCTGGCTCAGCTCTGCAGGCTGTGCCTGGCCATTCTGCGCCCCAACAGAGTCGGCTTTTGAGACTCCTTTGGTCCTCCGCTCCACCTCCCTCTCCCCCTGCTCTTCGGTCTTCTTCCCCATTTCATACAGCTCCTCTTCCCTTTCTGCTCCAAGCTGCTTCCTGAAAACCACACTGTGGTGTGAGGGGGGAAAGATCAGTAATAACAACTCAGTTGTTGCTGTTGTCCTGTTGCCAAGTCGTGTCCGACTCTTTGCAACCCCAATGGACTGTGGCACGCCAGGCTCCTCTGTCCTTCACTATTTCCCAGCATTTGCTCACATTCAAGTCCGTTGAGTCAGTGATGCCATCCAACCATTTCATCCTCTGCCGCCCCCTTCTCCTTTTGCCTTCAACATTCCTCAGCATTGGGGTCTTTTCCAGCAAGTTAGCTCTTCCCATCAGGTGGCCAAAGTGTTAGAGCTTCAGCTTCAGTATCATTCCTTCCAATGAACATTCAGCGTTTTTTCCTCTAGCATTGACTTGTTTGATCTCCTTGTTGTCCAAGGGACTCAGACTAACACAACTTGTGGGCAGTGGTCCTCTAGGCTGGGAGAAGTAAACATTAAAGAAAGACATGTGAGGACAAGATCCCCAAAGTAAACGTGAAAGGTTAAGAAACTGAGAGGAGAGTAAGAGATAAAAAAGATTGTGTTTAAAAAAAAAAAAGACTGTGTTGTCTGTGAAAATTGTCTAAAGACACATTAAAGGATTCTGAAGATTTATGACAACCAGAAGTAACACTGCCCCTAGACTGGAACAGAGGTGGGGGCAATGCTATAAAAGGCATTGTTGGGTCAGTTGACAAAACTGGAATATGGACAGGTTACATAAAAATACTGTATCCATGTTAAAAAATAGAGGTAAACATATCTTAGAAATGTATTTTATATCTTATCCAACCTGTTTCATCATTTGCTAAAACAATTCTGTAAATTTTCTCCTTTCAGATGTATTGAGATGATGATGTAGTGAATCACACATTTAGATTCCTTAATAGTGAAACGCTTTTGGATTCCTAAACTAATCCTTAGGTGGTTAACATGCATTATTAAATTTTTAACAATTATTAAATACCATTAAATTTTTAATAATTATTAAATGTATTATTAAAAAGAAAAAAAACAGATTTGAAAATCAATCAATCCAAAATAAGACGACAAAGAAACAAAACTGAAATTGACTTTGACACGTCTTATTACTAAAAGAAGTTTAGAAAGCATGAAGTTGAGAGAGAGGGTGAGTGTGTGTGTGAGACCGCATGTGTGTGTGTGCGAGTCCGCATGTGTGTGTGTGCGTGTGTGTTTAAAGGGTAGGTATTGTGAACCGAAGTAAAAAGATTTTACTAAGAAGAAAGAAAAGAAGGAAGTGCTGGTGAGAAGCCAGGAGAGTGACAGTAAACACAGAAAGTGACCTGACTGTCAGGACTTCGTCATGGTTCCCGGCTGCACCAGTCACAACTTGCCTTGGAAATAGCTCTGATTACTATGAACAAAACAGCCTACTGCACTGAATCTACACAGAACAATTCCTGTCGGTCAAGACTGTGGAAAAGTCCCAGCTCTGACTGAAAAAGGAGTCCACCAACCATGGGAACTTCAGAAGGGCAGGTATTCCTGTGTCGTCAAACCCTGGCCTGGAGCAGACAAAGCAAGAACTCACGCCCTCAGACCTACTTAAGAAGGGATGCCCAACCTCCGGGTCTAATGCCCGATGATCTGAGATGGAACTGACGTAATAATAATAAAGCGCACAATAAATGTAATGCACTTGAATCATCCCTAAACCTTCCATCCCACTCTTAGTCCTTGGAAAAATTTTTTCCATGAAACTGGTCCCTGGTGACAAAAAGGTTGGGGACCATTGTGCTGAAGAACTACCCAGAGAATTTTAAAAACCCACTCCAGTTCATATCAGATGCCAAAGAAATGAAATCAAAGCCTCCAGTGAGGACAGGAGCATTCCCAGTTTCAACCAGGGTTGAAAATATAAACTGACTTTGAGCTTCTATGTGCTCAACTGCCAAAAGAATATTTAAGTATAGTAACATTGGCTAAACACCATTAAAACCAAAACCATAGTTGTTGAGTTTTATACGATTTGGGTAATTAATTTTAACAGCTCCTCAGTACATTTCTAAGAAAATAGTTTTAAATGACATCTACAAGATAGAAAAATATTTCAGTTAAATAAAACTCTTGCTGTCACTATCTTCTTCAATGGGTTTCACATCCAGGGCATCTGAAACCTCCATCAAATTTGAAAAGTTTAGTTCTGCTTGATGGTAACATATGAATTCAAAGCACCCTTGATCTGTAACAGAGAACAATTAATTCAGTTTATACAAGCCCTTTTTAAAAGAATTAACCCAGCATTTGAAAACATGGCTCACAGTTGACTTAAAATGCTGTCAGGGGTTTTTATTCCAGAAAATATCCTGCTTGAAGCAGGCATGTGGAACAGCTGGAGAGCCTCAGACTTGCCAGTCTCAGCAAGATGACATTTTCCCCAATTGATTTATCTGAATTTCATTTCAAAAAAAAATACACTCAAAAGCAGTCTCACTCCAAGGTTCAACATTTCTCGACGCCTACATACTTCCATTAAGAACCCGACTTTGATGATTTCATTTGAGGATGCTCTGGGGACAGAATTCTTACCTGCATTAGAGCAGATGATGTCTTGAGAATTCTTGCACATTTGGTTACTCTTTTTCTTGGTCAGCTCACAGTTGGTTGGGTACTGGCAAGCATCACCAAACCATCCTTCATCACATTTGCATCTGCCACAGTCACACTTACCATGGCCTGAGAATTTAACAACATCTAGTTAGACTTAGACTGTTCTCCAAAGAATCTTAAGAGTGATGCTGGCTCAGGAATAAACCATAATAAATTCAAACACAAGTATATGACAGCAGTTAGTGGGGGAGGGGGGCGGGTAACACTATTTATACTCCATACAATGGACTATGTGGGCTTTATTTCCAAAATTAACTTTGATAACTCATTCTAAAAACATTAACTCATAGAGACATTAGGCTAGATAATTAACCAGAGGTCTAAAAAACAGATGATCAGAAAATTTAGCACTAAAAAGTCCACCAGGCACTTGCACATTTAAAACACAAAAACCCAATAAAACTCATTTCCGTTTAGCTGCATTTTATAACACATAAAACCACAAACTCTAAGTAAGGAATCTTAGATAAAATTATACTAAACATTGGCCTTATGTTTATTTGAATTTCATATGTAATAAAATTGTATAGAAATGTTAAATATATATCTCTATATATTTATAATTTTCCCACTTTGGGATAAGATTAACATGAAAAATAAGTATACATTTTGTTTCTTGATGGGAAAATTTGGTTCAGGAGTCAAAAGGATAAGAGTCATAGCCATCCACCTTCACAAAAGTTTCTCAACCTTTCATTCTCTCAAATCAACATTTTGCTGTTTTTATTTTTGCAGTCATTAATTTTATCAAGTCTTGTTTGAAGAAGCCAGCTAATGTTTCTATTGACTACATATTAGACAGAAGTGCAAAACACATACAATCCTTGGTCTTTGTCCTCAAGGGATTTACAAAGTGCAAAGTCAAGGCTAATATGCAAAGAGGATTGTGTTACGTTCAGCCAGAACTATTTTCTGGATGTTGTATGAAGTTGAAAGATGTAGTCTATGACCTACAGAAGAGGAGAAAGATTTTCTGGACTTCTTTGACCTTTAACTGGGCCTTGAAAGGTGAGCAGAATTTGAAAGGGTTGCAGGGAGAATGAAGAAGAAGGTGCTAGTCACTCAGTCATGTCCAACTCTTTGTGACCCCATGGACGGTAGCCCACCAGGCTCCTCTGTCCATGGAATTCTTCAGGCAAGAATGCTGGAGTGGGTTGTCATTTCCTTCTCCAGGGGATCTTCCCAACCCAGGGATCGAACCCTGGTTTCCTGCACTGCAGGCAGTTTCTTTACAACCTGAACCACCAGGGAGAGAGTATTTGTATATTATTCAAGATGACAGTGCTATGTCCTAGTGCCTGAAATTCACAGGCCACAGTGGAACAGAATCACTGAGCTGGGGCCAACAGTCACTCGAGATGGTGGCCAAAATCCACATGATGAGGTCCAAATGGTCGGTCAGAGTGAATGGCTCAAAGGCATGCCATATGGGCATGTCGGGCAGAGCCTGGGTCTCTGATCATCTCTGACTTTAAAACTCCTGTGCATGTGGCCCAGTCCACGTAAGGGTTTCTATTCCTGTTGCATTTTTCAAATTAATTATTCTGTTTTACAAACAACACCTTGCCTGCACCCTAATTACAATTCATTTTATCCAGTGCATGTTACTTTGTCAAGCTGATTGTATCATCTTGCATCCCTGTCTGGTCCGACACGATACTGTCAATCTCAGCCAACTTGGTATCACTGACAAGCATAAGTGATCTCTTCTGCCAACCATCCAGTCTATTTTTATGAACATATTGAGCCAAATTCTTAAAGTGGCTAAACCTCTTTTGGTGAATTAAGAATCTTGGTCACTGTAACAATTCTTTAATAATATTAGTTGTATTAGGTTAAACAGTGTGAAATAGCCACTTTTAAAATAAATGTATTTATTTTTGATTGGAGAATAGGTGCTTTACAATACTGTGTTGCTTTCTGCCGTACACCAACATGGATCAGTCATAGGTACACATATGTCCCCTCCCTCTAGTATCTCCCCCTCACCCCACCCCACTCCTCTGGGTTGTCACAGACCAACAGGTTTGAGCTCCTTGCATCATACAGCAAAGAAACAGCCACTTCTATAAGTTAAATGTCAGCTATTTCTTATGGTTCATCCCAATAACAAAAGCTCCATATCAACTGTGAAGAAAATAAGAATGATTTAGAAGAAAAGGAAGTATCTAGAAAAAGAATACATCTTTTATATTGGATGGAAGATCCGAAACTCCAAACGAAGGTACATATGACAGAGGTGGGTGATGGTTTGTGGGTCAAAGGTTATAGACTTTTCAAAATGGAGGAGATTTCCAAAAATAGACGAAAAATAAGGAAAATGTACAGAAGATATTAAAAGGCTCATTCATCTCACAATGACTCCATGAAGCATCAGTAGAAGCTATATTTTAGGTGCTTATACCCCAAAGTTATTAGTACATGGAGGTGCAGCTTCAGAAACTTCTTCCATAAAAGGCTCTATGATAAAATAAACATGGAAAGTGACATGCTATATTCTTCTCTTAGTGTGTCATGATATATACCAGCACGCTGAAGCCCATGAGAGGTCCTTTCGAGAAAAAGCTATTTAACTTTATTTAGAATACACAATTTTTTTGATTAGTGGGCCCCTTGTCCTCACATCTTATGTTAACATCTTAGGCACACACTGCCAGGTAATGTGATTTCAGCTTTTCCTTGAGCATCTGACTGTAGGCAAAGCTGACAGATGAGGTAGGACAGGGTCATCTGCTTTTATGTTTTGTCTAAACTTCATGCCTGGCAGGGTCTTCTTGATTCACTTTCCTCCACTTAGGAAAGCAAATGGGAAGAGATTTTTTTTTTTCTTTTTTTACTGTCAAAAATTACCAAGGAATAGCCTATACAACTTTATCAGGAGATAAGTGCACAATGTTTTTAGAAAGAAAAGAATCTTTAAATAAGTTCTACTCTTTGAAAGTGAAAGTGTGACTCAGTCATGTCCGACTCTTTGCGAATCCATGGACGGTAGCTCACCAGGCTCCTCTGTCCATGGAATTCTCCAGGCAAGAACCCTGGAGTGGGTAACCATTTCCTTCTCCAGGGGATCTTCCTGACCCAGGAATCAAACCTGGGTCTCCTGTGTTGCAGGCAGACTCTTCACCATCTGAGCTACCAGGGAAGATCCTCTTTACTCAAGGTTAAAAAGAACTCTGGCCGACCTCAGGGAATGAGGCTGCTGTATTATGGAAGCAAGGTAATCTCCCCTGCAGTGTCAACAACGTGGCTTCGCCGAACATCCCGTTTGGTGAAACACTTTATCACTGTGTACTAGTTTGCTGCAGCTGTCATCCAACGTACCATAAACTGAAAGGCTTAAAGCAACAAAACTTTCCTCACTCCCAGCTCTAGCGCCCCCAAACTGACATCAAGGTGCCAACAGTCTGACTCCTTCTAGAGGATCTACGACAGACGTTCTCCCGTTCCTGTCTCCCGTCCACTGGTGGCTGCCTGCAGTCCTGGTGCTCCCTTGTCTGAGCAAGCTTTCCCTGCTCCGCTTCTGTCTTCATGTGGCTTTTCCCCTGTGTGTCTGTGTCTTCACATCTTTCTCCTTATAAGTGCATGGGTCACTGGATTTAGAGTCCATCAGACTTCCGGAGGACCTCATCTTAATTACATCTTCCAAGACTGTCTTCCCAAATGTCACATTCAAGGCACTGGGTGGAGGGATTTCACCCATCCTTTAGTGGGGCATAATTTAATCCTCAAGAGTTGCAAGTAATAGATCCTGATTACCCTCTTTCTTACCTAGATGGAATATTTAAAAGCAGAGACATCACTTTGTCAATAAAGGTCCATAAAGTTAAAGCTATGGTTTCTGTAACAGTCACCTAAGGATGTGAGAGTTGGACCATAAAGAAGGCTGCGTACAGAAGAATTTATCTTTCAAACTGGTGTTGGAGAAGACTCTTGAGAGTCCCTTGGATTGCAAGGAGATCAATTCACCAATTTTAATGGAAATTAACCCTGAATATTCATTGGAAGGACTGGTGCTGAAGCTGAAACTCCAATACTTTGGCCACCTAATGTGAAGAGCTGACTCATCAAAAAAGACCCTGATGCTGGGAAAGATTGAGGGCAGGAGGAGAAGGAGACAACAGAGGATGGGATGGTCGGATGGCATCACCGACTCAATGGACATGAGTTTGAGCAAATTCAGGGAGATGGCGAGGACAGGGAAGCCTGGTGTGCTGCAGTCCAGAGGGTTGCAAAGAGTCGGACACGATTTAGTGACTGAACTGAATTACATATTCACGTATAAGATGTGGTCTTTTTATGCCCTCTTGGATGTGAAAATAAATGGCTAGAGCTGAGAGCAGCTTCCCCCTCCCCATTTCTACGCCGCAGCAGGAGGGCCTGAGAATTCCCACCGACAGCCTGGCCCAGGTCCACGTGTGCATGCACAGCTCTGCGAGCCCTCTCCTCCCCAACTCCTCCCACAATCGAGGTCCCTGACCACCCCCAGTCCCAGGACATCTGCACCACCCAGACTAGGGGGGAAGCCACAGCAAGCTCTGGAAGAGGTGTGGAGACCTTTGTGGTAGAAGGTCCTGGTCCGTCTCCTCGGGCAAGCAGGGCAGAGGTGGAATGGACTACTATTCAGCTATGAGAAAGAAGGCAATCCTGCCATTTGGAGCAACATGAAGGGACCTCCTGATGGCAAAATGCGAAGTGAAATAAGTCAGACGGAGAAAGAGAAATAGTGCCCAACCTCACGTATACATGGAATCTGAAAATAACGAGCCAAGCAAACAAAGAAGCCAAAATCCAAACTCATAAAAAAAAAAGGTTTGTAGCTAACATGGTGGGGATAGAGAACTGGATGAAGGTGGTCAAAACGTACAAAACTCCAGTTTTATGATAAATATAAGTACTAGTATGTCATGTACAAGATGATGACCATAGTAATAGACATTGGCCTTCCCTGGTGGCTCAGATGGTAAAGAATCTGCCTCCGATGCAGGAGACCCAGGTTCGATCCCTGAGTTGGAAAGATGCCCTGGAGAAGGGAACAGAAACCCCCTCCAGTATTCTTGCCTAGAG